GTCTTAGACCAGGGGTCTTCAAGCTTGGCAACTTTAAGACTTGTGGACTTCAACTCCCAGAATTCCTCAGCCAGCCAGCGCTGGCTGAGGAATTCTGGGAGTTGAAGTCCACAAGTCTTAAAGTTGCCAAGTTTGAAGACCCCTGTCTTAGACTCTTTGTGAGTTGATGGATGGAATGAGTTCTCTAAAGCATGGGTCCCCAACCCCTGGTCCATGGATCGGTACCGGACCGTGGCATGCTAGCAACCGGGCCGCACAAATAAGCAAAGCCCCATCTGCGGGATGTGGGCAGCACACAAAACAACGCCCCTCCAATCCTCAGAAAAATCTCTCTTCACATAACCCAGTCCCTGGTACCCAAAAGGTTGGGGACCTCTGCTCTAAAGCATATATTTCTCACCCTAAGGCAGGTCCAATCAATAGGTTTACATAAGTTAGGAAATTGACAAAACGGCAATTTTTACTTTTGTCCTGGTTGATCATCATCCTAAAGCAGTGGTTCTCAACCTTTTTAATGCTGCGACCCCCAACCAGTCGTAAGTCGAGGACTACTCAACCGGTTGTTAGTCGAAGACTACTTACGGTGCAGCACCGTTTGCAGAATGGGACTTCTGGCGGGCTCAGCAGGGCAGAAACAGCCTGGACAATTCCTATTGGCTTTTGAAAGCCAATAGAATTAGACTCTATTCAAGAGAGTCTATTCTATTGGCTTTCAAAAGCCAATAGAATAAAAGGGAGTAGCACAGCTAAGGAAAAGGGGGGGAAAATGGCGGACTGCGTTGTTTGGCGACCCCCGTGAAATGGTCTTCGACCCCAAATGGGGTCTCGACCCACAGGTTGAGAACCACTGTCCTAAAGCCATTGCTATGATACCTTTTATTTGAAGAGAGATCAGGATAACTTGGATGAAAAAATCCTTAATTAAAAAAAAAGTGTTTCCCATCACTTTGCAGGCTCTAGGTTCACCTCATACCTTGTCCCTGGGTCAAGATGTGAACTTGAGGTCCTGGGATTAAGGTTAATACACTCAGGATGCTAGAATTCACAAGACGGCAGCAACTTATAGAAAATGTAAGCTGGTTGCTTTCATCCAATAGTTGTTAGGATATTTAAACACTAGCAAGGTCAAACACCAGAAATCCACCTCTATACCCCACAAACTATAGAGCAGTGGTTCTCAACCTTTTTATATGGCGACCCCGGTCATAAGGAGGCGCCGCGGCGGCGCCCCCATGTGCGGCGTGGCCCTGAGGGAAAAAATGGCGGATCGCGTTGTTTGGCGACCCCCGTAAAATGGTCGTTCGACCCCAAATGGGGTCGCGACCCAAAGGTTGAGAACCCGAGCAGGGGGTTGGACTAGATGACCTCCAAGGTCCCTTCCAACTTTACTACTATTACTATCTGACAAACCAAATTTAAACAAACCATAATTTCCTGTGGCTTATTAATCAGGCACATACATCATAGTAAGCTTGTTATAATCAAGGTTGAATAATGAATTTATATGTATGCCTGTAGTCCTCAGCTTATAATCAGAATTGCAATCAAAATTTCCATCGCTAAGCAATGCGGTTCAGTGAGTAGCACCTGATTTTACAACTTTTTGCTATGGTTATTAAGTGAATCACATGGTCATTAAGCACGATACAGTGTTCCCCCCCCCATTGGTTTTGTTCATTTCCCCTAGCTGGGAAGGTCAGAAATGGGGATCCTGTGACCCAGGAATCGTGCAACCATCATAAATACATGCTGGCAGACTTTCGCCAAATTTTCATCATAAGACCATGGGACTCCTATGACACTTGTTAAGTGCTGGTTGTAAGTCATGTTTTTCCAGTGCTGTCATAACTTCAAACAGTCTCTAAATGAACGGTTGCAAGTAGAGGAATACCTGTAGATCTCATTTAGCCATAAATCAGAATGGTTGAATTCTCCTAAGGCAGAATAGCCAAGCTCAGCAGCCACGATTGTATCTGTTTCTTTTCTTGACCTAAAGACAAGGCTGGACTTTTTTACAGAAACTGTTGCAATCGGCTATTTTTGAATGCTTAGGTATGTCTCCCCTGCTAAATTTGGTCAAACTGTCTTTATAACCGTTGGAAGGCTCTGCCAGAAGCCGTATGAATCATCATTCATAAAGTCAGAGGCGGGCAGAAGGGGAGACAGAGGGAAGCCCTAAAGGAAGTTGGATGCTTTGCAACGCTAGCAAGAAGCAGCCCAAAATTGAAGCTGGCTTAAATGTTTTGAAAGCCTCCTTCCCCCCCCCCAAAAAAAACCAGACAGATTTGGCAAAGGAGCAAGCAAGTAAAGAGAGAAAGAAAGGAGGGACTTCCTCCAAGCATCAGCTTTTTTTTTTTTTTAAGGTGAGTTTGATTGGGCTAGCTGGGGACACATTGTGCCTGCCTGATCCCCTCACATTTGTATTTGTTTTAATTGGATTTGGAACCAAGGATACCAACTGCTGGAGATCCCCTGAACCATAAAACAAAGACACAAAGAAATAACCTTGGGAGGGTGGGGTGGGGGTGAGGAGGCAGTGGAGAAAGAACAGGATAGTGGGGAATAGCAAATAGCCACAAAACAAGCACGCTCTACTTAAGATCTGCCCTCCTCAAAGGAACTACTGGATACTCCGGGCTGCAGCTGCCATTATCCAGATTAAAGCAACTGTTTTGCTTCAGACAACCTGTGTGGATAAGAGTTTTATCCCCCAGCATTCATCCATTCTCTATGTCTGTCTCTAAGTTGCATGAATCTCATCCAAAGAGAAAAGTGTACTGTAGCTTTGAATGCGTCTGAGCTCCTTTAAGCCAACATTTACCCAGATCACTGCCATCTGGAAAGCTAGTTATTTTAGGGAGGGGTGGATGGAGGGGGGGGAAGAGAGATGTTCTCTCCTTTCTGATAGGGAATTTTATCCAAGTTGGAAGGGGATGGAAGTGGAGGGCTCTGGAGACCCTTTCTGCTAAAATCATTAACCGGAGGAAATGCTATACTACTGTATGATATTTTACTGTGCCTACACCAAGCAGCGCTGAAAGAGCGGGGAAGCTGCAGAGTTTATGCAGCTTCCCATGTTCTCAAATTGCTCTCCTGCAGAGAAATCGGGCTATTTCACCCTTGTCTTGAAGAGATGGTGGTGTATACACACATTGCATGACATTACATGTGCGGCGCATGTCATCATTTATAGATTTGACAGTCTATATGCAGTATTTAGGGGAGGCACTCCGAGTGCATTCACACAGCAAGTTTGACCTGGTTACAGGAGGAACGAGCCAGCCTGCTGAGTGTAAAAGCCACATAAACCCAACCAAGGTGAGCAATGGGAGCCACATAAGCACAACCAAGATTAACATCTCCCAAGCTTGTAGGTTGTGAGAACACCCACCCCTAGTTCTTTCTGTGACTTGGGTAAGCGAAGTAGATGAACCCGCCATAGCAGACCAATCACGTTTACTTACTTTAAGAATAAAATATACCCAATTTTACCGATGCCAGGGAAGGGATGGGGGAATTAAAAAGCATTGCTAACTCAGCAGAAGCTGCCCCGACCTAGAAGAATATTTAAGCCTCCTTTATCCAGCAGCAAAGCAACTGTTTTGCTTCAGACAACCTTTGTGGATCGGCGGAAGGGTGGCAGCACTCTGCACCTGCTCAGGGGACCCTGCGGTCTAGATGGAATTACGTCCTAGGGTGGAAAAAAAAAAGTCTTCGTTTCAAATCAAGCCCAATCCGGAGGCTCTTTTTTTCCCCCTTTCCAAACCTTGCCTGCCAAAGCTCATCAGCCCCGGCGACAGTGCGGAAGGCACCGGATCTTAATTATCAATGGTGTGGCGGCGGGAAGGGAAGAAAAAAAAAATCTGAATTGTTAATCAAAGGAGCTCCGGTTACAGTCAGCGCTCCAAGCTTTTTCCCTTCGCGCGACTCCCGCAGGGAATTTCCAGTAAATGAACATTGCTTTCGCTCTCCGGCGGGAGCTGCAGCCGTCTGACTCTTCCACACCTCCGCATCCCCGGGATCCCTCCCCCCCACACACACGCCCGCCTCCCTAGCCGCACAAGGTAGCCAAGCCGCGGCTCCTCCGGTTGGCAACCCAGCCCGCCGCAGGGATTTGCCACCGTGGGAATCGGCTATATCTCCAGCCCGCTCCCCATTCGGCCGCGCTTTTTTTTTTGCATGCCTTGAGAAACATAGCTTCTTCTCCCTCCACACATACACCCCCCCCCCCCAAAAAAAAGACAGCGGGAGACAGGAGACATTCTTCTCCTGCACGCCCCAGCGCCCGGGGCTGGTGTGTTTGCTAACCCAGCAGGCGAAAAGCAGCAGTTCTTATTATCTCTCCGCTCCTTGCAATCTTGCTCCGACCGGAGTACAGCCAGCCTTTCCAGCTTCCGCACGCGCGATCCTCCTCCGCCGCCGCCGCCGATTTGCACCTTGCAATGCAAAACCGCGGGGGCTCCGTCTTTTGCAAAGGGCAGCGCGCGCGCCCTACGAGCAAAGAAGGGGAGCAGCCAAGCAACCTGCTAGTCCAAACTACAAATACTGCTTCTTGGGGTGGGGGGGGGGGCAGCGGAGGGTCTGGAAATCATGCAAGAACTTTTCCTCTTATTATTACTATCATTCTTCCAAGTTGCAAAGGAAAAGCAGAAAAAGCCCAGCTCAGGTCAAGCTCGGCTCTCTCTCTCTCTTTCCCCTTAAACGCGGTTCATCAGGAGCTCCGGCGCTTCCCACGCTTGCAGCCGGGAAACCGGCGGCTTTTCCACTGACCCGGGGCAACTTTGCAAACAAACAAACAAAAAAAAAAAAACAGCAAATAAATAAATAAATGGAAGAGAAAGGAAAAAGAGTCAAACTTTGCAAAGGTTCGCGCTTCCCGAATCTCTCCCGCGTCTCCATCCACCGCCCCCCCCCGCTCACTCTTTCAAGCCGGCCAGAAGAGATCCGCGCCGCGCGCCTTTTCGGCCAACCGCCAAGGAATCGCACACACACACACACACCCTTCTTTCCAGCCGGTGGATCAGCTCCGGAGCTTGGCAGCTGCTTCCCAGCAGCATAAGGTATCCATTGACCGAAAGGTGCCAGGCGGAAGAAGCCGGGAGCCGAGCGCCGCCGCCGGTGCTCTTGCTGCTGCTGCAATCGCCGCGGCTCTTTCCCTTCCCTTCCCGAGGCAGCGCGGGACTGGAGCCGCGCGGAGCAGCGCTGGCGGTAGCAACTCCTGACTCAGGGGGCCTCCGAGGGGAGGGGAGAAGAAAAAGGGGGCGATTCCCAGCCGGCAACGCTGAGCACAGCGCAGCCTACCGGGAGGCGGAGGCAGCCAAGCGGCGGTAGCGGCAGCAGCAAGCAACAAGCCAGGCTCGGCGCCCAGGCTTCCTCCCGACCGAGCCGAGTCGGGGAGAAAGAGCGAGAGGAGCACGCGTGTGTGTGTATGGGGGGGGGGACTCGCTGCTGGCAGAATTGTGCCCGCCCCCGATGCCCCGCACACAGCGACGCCGGGCGCGGCTCACCGGACCCTCCGCAGAGACCGGACGACGGGATGACTTGTGCGCCCTGTCCGGGGGGAGGGGGTCTTCCTTGGCTCGCCCGCCGCCGGAGGGAAGCTAACCGAAGATCCTAAAGCTGCCTCCTTTGTGCCCCCGGGCTGCTCCTTGCTGGAAGAGCTGCGTTAGGGTTCTCACGTGCAGCTCCGCGCCTGTAGTTCCGCGGGCTGGGCTGGTGCGGCGCAGCGAGCCAGGTTCAACGGACTTGGTTTAAACGGGGGTTTGTGGACTGAGGTGCGAGGGGCAGCGGGCTGAGCCTCGAACCGTGGAGCGCGCGCTGTTATCGTTGTTGGTATGTTTGTGTGTTTGTGGTGGTGCGCTGGTTGTGGGTAAACCGATCAGGACGGGCAATTGGCAAGGAAATGGGGGGAAAGATCCCGATGGGGAGATAATGCAAAGGGGGTAGAGACATGAGGAGAATGGGGAGAAGGGATTTTTCTTCATCTCCTGGTAAACTTTTGCTTTGCTTTAACGATTTCAATCTCGACGATCTTTTTTTTTTTTAAGTAATTTTCTTAACTTTGCACATCAAAACGGCAGGAAATTGCTACTGATTTCCCACAGTCATTGTGGTAAGGTCTGATTAAATGCAAAACAAGGAGCTTTATTGGGACAAGTATTTAATTTGTTATTATTCGGTTTGTATCCTACCGTTATTATTTTTATTTATGTATTAAATGTGTTTGCCACCCATCTCTCCGGAAAATCATTGTATACATTTCAAGGCACCATACATAACCTCTCGCCTTTTCCACAGCAACAACAACCCTGCCAGGTGGGTTGGGCTGAGAGAGAGGGAGAGACAGGCCCAAAGTCATCCAGCCACTTTTCATGCTAAGACAGGGGTAGGCAACCTTGGCTCTTTTATGACTCGTGGACTTCAACTCCCAGAATTCCTGAGCCAGCCATGCTGAGGGGAAAGGGAGAGGTTCCATGCTGAGCCATGCTGGCTCAGGAATTCTGGGAGTTGAAGTCCATGAGTCATAAAAGAGCCAAGGTGGCCTTCCCCTGTGCTAGGGGAAAACTAGAAATCTCATCTGCTAATTTCTAGTTCAACATCTTAACCACTACATTGCTCTCATCAAGCCCCCCCACTCCTAAAATACAAGTATTCCCCATCCAGTGGTCAAAGTTGTGATGCTGCTGAACAAGAGGGGACTTATGACCATATTTCATAATTGTGGCCATCACAGCATCCTCATAGTCACATCAACACAAAATTGACACTCTGGCTGAAGTACAGGGTATAACATAAGGAAATTCATGTATTCCCACCTCCTGATGTAAGTTCTGTAAGCAATTTAATTCATGTCTCATTGTACCTGACAGGCTGGGCTGAAAATCACGTCTGTGGCATGGTGAGCTGGCCAACAATCCAAATACCTCATCTTTGTATGCTTTCATTGTCTTGAAATCTTATAGTAACTTTTCTGTGGTTTAATATAACCCAGTCCCATATGAGACAGAAGAATAAGTCTGTTGTGCAGGGGTCTCCAAGCTTGGCAAGTTTAAGACTTGTGGACTTCCAACACTCTGAATTCATGGCTGGCTGAGGAATTCTGGGAGTTGAAGTCCCCACAAGTCCTAAAGTTGCCATGTTTGGGGAGCCCTGCTATATATTGAGTATATCCTCAGTGGCTTTTGTCTGTCCATTAAGAAGGAGAAGATATTCTTCTGGGCCTCTACCACTAGGCAGGTCATCTGCAGGGTCTACAGGATTGGTCCTTCTATGTCAGTGGTTCTCAACCTGTGGGTCGAGACCCCATTTGGGGTCGAACGACCATTTCACGGGGGTCGCCAAACAACGCAGTCCACCATTTTTTCCCCTTTTCCTTAGCTGTGCTACTCCCTTTTATTCTATTGGCTTTTGAAAGCCAATAGAATAGACTCTCTTGAATAGAGTCTAATTCTATTGGCTTTCAAAAGCCAATAGGAATTGTCCAGGCTGTCTCTGCCCTGCTGAGCCCGCCAAAAGTCCCATTCTGCAAACGGTGCTGCACCAGTTGAGTAGTCCTCGACTTACGACCGGTTGAGTAGTCCTCGACTTACAACCAGTTGGGGGTCGCGGCATTAAAAAGATTGAGAACCACTGTTCTACGTTGTTGCATCCTTCTAGAACAGGGGTTCTCAATCTTGGCAACTTTAAGATTTGTGAACTTCAATTTCCAGAATTCCTCAGCCAGCAAAGCTGGACATAGGTAGTCCAGGCCCAGCTGGTAAAGATTTAATAAGATGACCAGAAACGATCAGAGATGGCAGGTCCTACAAGTAACCAAACCCAATGCCGTGTACGGCTTTAAAGTTGACAACTGGATTCTTGTAGTTGTACCCAGAAACTTATTGGGAGCCAGTACTGATCACAAAACATAGTGTTACATGAGTGTACCATGGGCCACCCAATTCTGCTCACCTTAATATCCAGTTATGCCTGTTGAGGAATTCTGGGAGTTGAAGTCTCACAGAGAGGAGGGATCACTATCACAGAGAGGAGGGGGTCAACCTATTTTCCAAAGCATCTGAAGGTCAGACAAGGAATAATGGATGGAAACTGATCAAGGAGAGATTCAACCTAGAAATAAGGAGAACTTTTCTGACAGAACAATCAACCAGTGGGACAGTTTGCATTCAGAAATTGTGGGAGCTTCATCACTGGAAACTTTCAAGAGGAGACTGGACTGCCGTCTGTCAGAAATGGTGTAGGGCAGGGGTCTTCAAACTTGGCCCTTTTATGACTTGTGGACTTCAACTCCCAGAATTCCTCAGCCAGGCATACTGGCTGAGGAATTCTGGGAGTTGAAGTCCACAAGTCATAAAAGGGCCAAATTTGAAGACCCCTGGTGTAGGGTCTCCTGCTTGGACAGGGGAGTTGGACAAGATGACCTACGAGGTCCCTTCCAGCTTCTATTCCAGTGGTTCTCAACCTGTGGGTCGGGACCCCATTTGGGGTCGAACGACCATTTCACGGGGGTTGCCAAACAAGGCTGTCCGCCATTTTTTCCCCCTTTGGCCACGCCCCTGGCACCCGGTGATATATAAGTGGTTGGGGGTCATCACAACATGGGGAACTGTATTATGGGGTCGCGGCATTAGAAAGGTTGAGAACCACTGTTCTATTCTGTCCTGTCCTGTCCTATCCTATCCTATCCTATCCCCAAGTCTCAAAGTTGCCAAGCTTGGAGAGCCCAGTTCTGAACTACTGTGACCTTTTTGAGGAACCACCTACTTCTATATGAACCTTACTTGGACATTAGGGTGAGCAGAAAAGCTTCTCTTGAATACCTCCCTACTTTCCAAGGCCCCTCTAGCTATTGAAAAAGTAGATTCTTCTGTTCTGCTCCTGAGCAATAAAACCTATTTACTTGGCTTATCTTCAGATACAATCACAGCTACTCTGCCTTATTGACCTCTTTGCTAAACTCTTGCAATGTGCTCTGCATGGCTCTGCTTTTTGGGGGGGGAAAAAAAAACATTCAGAAGCTGGACCAGCCATGCTGGCTGAGGAATTGTGGGAGTTGAAGTCCACAAGTCTTAAAGTTGCCCAGTTTGGAGAGCCCTGTTTAGAATGTTAATGGTCAGCACAAATAACCTTAAATAGGTATTGGGAACCTGTTTAAAAACTGCAGGTCTTTAACAGTGATATTATAATAGACAGCAGCCTACCTGGCATATTTTTCCAAAATTGAAGCTTCCAGTTAGTCATAAAGGGTAGGCTCAGGTAGCACACATTGCAATAGTCAGGTCAGGATGCTATGTTGCCATTGTCAAATCTGACTGGTGTAGGAGCAATCAACAGAGAGCCAGTTTGGTCTAGTGCAGTGATTCTCAACCTTTTTAATGCCGCGACCCCCAACCGGTCGTAAGTCGAGGACTAAACTGGTCATAAGTCGAGGACTAAACCGGTCATAGGTCGAGGACTACCCAACTGGTCGTAAGTCGAGGACTTTCCCTGCCCGGGAGCACCGCGCATGAGTGGTGCCACCCCCTGCGCCAGCCAAGGCGTAGCTGGCAAGCGGCAGAGACGGAGCAGGCCGACCACCGGCTGGGCCACCAGCTGGCCCAGCCCAAGGGAGTTAAGGCACCCACCGGAAAAGGGGGAAAAAATGGCGGACAGCCTTGCTTGGCGACCCTCGTGAAATGGTCGATTGACCCCAAATGGGGTCGCGACCCATAGGTTGAGAACCGCTGGTCTAGTGGTTAAGGCAGCAGGCTAGAAAGCAAGTAAGTCCCACCTTAGTCTTGAAAATCAGCGAGGTGACTTTGGACCAGTCATTCTCTCTCAGCCCAGCCCAACCCACCTCACAGAGTTGTTGTGGGGAAAATAGGAGGAACGTCTATTAGATATGTTTGCCGCCTTGTGTTATTTGTAAAAAATAATAAAGGCGGGATACAAATTAATTAAATAAATTCTATGACAATTACCCTGTGGTAAGAGTTACCCTTGTGGTTAGATGGGCGGGCCTATCTGTCTGTCTGTCTGTCTATCAATCATTTATAATTTGCCACTAGAAGCACTGAAAATTTCTGAAAATGTAACTCTTTTTTAAATTTGTTTTTTTTTTTTAATTCACTAGAGACATATCTTCAGAGACTTGACCTACTTACTCATAGGTCTTCTCTAATGCAATCAGGACACCTAGAATAATCTTTAAATAAATAAAATATATGTTTCAAATGGAGAAATAAACCTGTTGAGAGTTTGCAGTAAATGATGAAAATTTGGTGAATGTCGATACTTTTACGATTTTTAGGAGAACCATTGGAAAATGTAACAACAACAAAATATGTCCCAAGGCTTATTTTTGATATTGAAGGCCAATGATGTGGAAAATGTCACTTTCTAGTAAATACTGACACTAGATATGGTATCTGAGCCTTTATTGTTGTTTTATAATTCACAGTGGAATATTCTGGCATTTCCTTCAAAATCTGTAAAGACCTGTGAAACATCATAGAAACCAAGTTATGAGAAATGTTAAAAACAGTGCTGGTTACATTGAGTAGCTTACAATGAAGAGGAAACATGATAGTGGTCTTCAAAAACTCCAGAGGCTATTCACATAGAAGATGGAACTCAGTTGCTTGAATACGTATAGACGTATAGATGGAAAGAGCAAGGTACCAGATGTTAATCCAAAGCAGAGGTCTTCAAACTTGGCCCTTTTATGACTTGCGGACTTCAACTCCCACAATTCCTCAGCCAAGGTTCTTTTTCAAAAGGCAATTGGAATTTATTTGTTTTTCGTTGAAGACATTTCGCTTCCCATCTGAAGAAGCTTCTTGGATGAGAAGTGAAACGTCTTCAAGGAAAAACAAAGTCCAGTTGCCTCCTGAAAAAAGCATCTTTGGGACACCCAAGACCTGGATAGCTGAGAATCTCCATAGACAAATAGAATTTAAGAACCTTTTCATCTCTTCAGTTCTATGAAGTACCAAATTAAGGAGAAACTTCCTGACAGTGAGGACAATCAATCAGTGGAACAGCTTACCTCCAGAAATCGTGGGTGTTCCATCACTGGAAATTTTTAAGAAAAGACTGGACAATCACCTGTCTGAGATGGTATAGGTTCTCCTGCTTGAGCAGGGGGGCTGGACTAGAAGACCTCTAAGGTCCTTTCCAGATTCTATTCTATTCTATTCTATTCTATTCTATTCTATTCTATTCCATTCCATTCCATTCTATTCTAT